CGGAGGCGGGGACAGGACTGGCCGGTACTCCCACACCCTGCACAGAAACAGAGCTTGACTCAGGAGGAGAGATAGACCCGGGAGTTCGGACAGCCACGGCCGTGCCCTCGGCCAGGCACAGCCTTTTCCTCCCTCCCTGGGCCATGGGGACATCCCTGGGCACAGCTGCTGTGGTTGCCCAGCCTGTTTCTCTCCCAAACCTGAGCTTGTAGCCTATAAACTGGATCAGGTGCTCTGCTCTAAACCACCCTCCTCTCCAGCCAGAGGCGGGGTGGGTGGATGCCCCCTCTGCCCAAGCCAGACAGAATTCAGGGCTCTGACTGCCGGCCTGATTCGATCTGCTGGACAAGGTGCCCCACAAGAACAAGGGTGGTGGGCTTCTGAGCCCCAGAGCCCGGTGCGAGGTGGCTGCCAAGCCTTTGGCACTGGGCAAGAGCGGATGGGCAGTGGCTGCAGCAGGCAGAAACATCAGGGATGCCCCTGCTCCTGCCCCCGGCAGCTCTTGCTCCCTCTGCTTTCCGGATCTCCCAGCCCAGCCTCACCCCCAAAGTAGGAGCCATCAGACAGCTTTGTCTCCTTGTTGCCCTTGGTGAGGATGCTGACCACCCCGTGCTGGATGAAGTACATCTTTTTGCCCACGGTGCCCTCGCGGATGATGAAGTCCCCGGGCTGGAAGACCTCAAAGCGCAGCTTGGTCAACATGGCTGTCACAAAATTGGGGTCCGCATTGGCAAACAGGGGCATGTTGGCCACCAGGTTGCGGCAGTTGAAGTTGATGATCTCCTGTGGGGTGAGGAGCGGGTCAGCGGCGACATCGCCAAGCCTGAGCCCAGCAAGCACCGGCCCCCTTTCCCCAAGTCACCAGCACTGGGGTGCCTGCCTGTACCTCTTTGAGCGGCTCACTGAGCTCCCCCAGGATGTTCTCCTCGTCGAACATCTTGCCCTGGTAGCGGTGCTCGTAGTACTCATGGATCCGCTGGCGCGTGTCCCCAGGCAGCTTGTGGAATGACATGTACTGCTCCACTTGCTTGTACTGTGGGGACAAGGCAGAGCCACACTGGGCTGCGCTGAAACAAGCTGCACCACGCCAGAGCCCGGCGGCCCTGCCGGCCAACGCTTTCCCTCTCCTGGGCAGTGAGAAGCAGCCACTGCCGGAGTGGGGATCCAGCCACCCCTGCTCCAGGGCCCCGTCTCAAAGGACACCTCTGGGGCGGAGGATAGAACCCCTGTGCATTCAGGGCGCAGAGGGTCCCAGGGCAGAGGCGAGGTGGGGGGCCTCACTATGCTCGGGTGAACCCCAACATCATGAACGGGGTGTCTCTATCCACACGGGCAGCCTGGCCCGAGTCCCCCGCTCCCCGGGTGAGTGGCAAGGGCAGAGATCAGGGCAGGAACCTGCAAGGCAGGGCAGCCCGTGCCCAGCAGGTTTTGGAGCTGGACCCACTCGTGCCAGGGCATCTTCCCCCAGTACTCAGGCACTCACTACCCCACCCGGCTGACCTTCTCCTGGTACTGGCGCCGGGATGAGTCCAGTCACTGGATGATGGCGGTGGCGTGGCCGATGAACATGGCGTAGCAGGTGGCCCCCACGATCATGCTCAGCATTGTGAGCCAGACGTCGGTCATGCCCTCGGGCGCCTGCTGGCCGTAGCCAATGCAGAGCATGTGGCTCATGGCCTTGAACAGGGCGTGAGAGTACTGCTTGCCCCAGGAGTCGTTCTGCAGAGGAGGGAACAGCGGCGCTGGGGTATCTGTTGGAAGGATCTTGCTGCACTGAACTCTCTGGTCCTCCCTCCCCAGAGCCAGTGAGTCCAGAGCCCCAGCAAGGAAAAGGTTTCTGACATGTCCAAGCCCAAAGGGCAGAGCTCTGCTCCGGGAAGAGGCACTGGGGACTGTGCAAAGCCCTGAGCCGGCACCCGCCCCTGCTCAGGGGAGGAGGCAGGAGCCCCACTGCCCTGTTCCCTCCTGGCAGGGCACGAGGGATTCCCCTGGCTGCTCCGACTCCAGCAGCAGCCAAGGTGGGCTGAGATGGGAAGGTGATGCAGAGATTCCCTCTATCCCATCTCATTGCTGCTGCAGGGCTGTGACCAGAGAGATGCTGCTCTGCAGCACGTGGATCCAGCCTTAGAGTACGAGATGTGTAACCAAACCCTCTCCTCCCCGCCCCAGGCAGATGCACGGCCGGTATCGCCCCTGCCCGGGGCACTCACCACCATGCGGTTCATGGACACCCAGCAGTCCTTGGGGAAGTCTTGCAGCATGGGCACCAGGAACTGGAGGCAGCCGTCCCAGTGACACAGCAGCAGCATCATGCCGATGAGGTTGAAGATCCTCACCACAGCACTGGCCAGGTCGTACGTCATATGGAAGATCTGGGGAAGAGGCAGGAGTGGAGCTACAGAGAAACTCTTTTCCCAGGACAGCCCTCTGAACCCCTGCTCTCCAACCAGCTGTACCCCACAGCCAGGGACCCCTGACCTGGCCCAAGACCCTGACCAGGGGCCTTGGACCCCCAAGGGGTTCTCACCTCCTCCCACTGGTGGATGTAGCGGATGAGCCGTGAGAGGCGCAGCAGGCGCAGCAGGCTGAGGATCTTGGTGAAGCGGACAATGCGCAAGGCCCGGGCTGTCTTGTAGACGTCTGAATCCACCTGGGTCTCCAGGTCAACAATGAGGAAGATGTAGTCAACCGGGATGGAGGAGATGAAGTCGACCAGGAACCAGCTCTTCAAGTACTTCATTTTGATGGTGTGAGGGTCAAGGATGATCTCTGTGTTGTCCTCCACCACAATGCCTGTCCGGAAGTTCAGCACCAGGTCAGCCAAGAAGAAAGTGTCCGAAAGCACATTGAAAACGATCCAGGGCGGGGTGTTCTCATCCTTGAAGAACGTGATGCCCACAGGCAGGATGATCAAATTCCCCACCATCAGGAGCAGCATGATGAGGTCCCAGTAAAACCTGCAGGGAGGGAGCACAGGGGATGGAGCAGGGCAGGGAGAAGTGGGGAGAGGCAGGACACAGTGGTTAGAAAACTAACCCAGGATCAAAGCTAGAGCCCAACACAACGTGGGGAGCCAGGCGCTCAGGACACAACACACGTGCCTGCCCGCACACATGACTAAGACCCTTCTGCTTGGCTGGGACACACGCAAGTATATGTGTGCGGAGAGGAGCAATTCCGGACCGGCTCTTGAGGCAGAGCAGGGCCAAGGGTCTGGAGGAGCAAACATCACCCTGTGTATGTAGGACCGGAGGGCTGTAGCTCAAGGAACTTGGCTGTCGCTCCTCCCTTTCCTCATGGCATGGCAGTGCATGCACACGTATGCCCCCGCCCCAAACTTGACATCTGCCCTGTGAAAAACTCAGGGAGGACGTGGGCTTTGCTCCCTGGAGCTCCCTGTCACCCGCTGTCTCCCTGCCACCACCTGGGCTGGCTTAGCAGGATTTAGAATAAGCTTTGCTGGTTATGCAAACCGAGTGCCGAGCTCCTGGGGCGGCCGAGGGACTCAGGGGCCAGGCAGGCGGTCGGGATCGTAGCACGGGCGACCAGGCAGCAGCCAAGCAAAGGTAGACAAGTGCCGTCACCACAGGAAAGGTGGGAGGAACACGTCTAGCCCCAAAGGGGCTGCTTGTGAGCAGTGGGCAGGAGCTACACAGCCCAGGGCCTGCAGGACACCTTAATCCATCTCCTTTTTCTGAGAGTGGACAAGCTTAGAGGCTTCGCAAGAAAGCCGAGAGACACCGAGCAGCAGTTGATTAGCGTTCGGTTGTGCCGTGAAATTCAGCATCCCCATTCACATGCAAATGCGGCTGGGATGTTTTCAATGGCACAAACGCATGTAATGCCTTTCTTCAGGAGGCCTGCGGCGGCTCCTGCAACAGCTTGGTGGGCTCCCAGGCCTGGAAAAGCAAGTGCAGCTCCCACCTTTGGGTGCCCACCCTTAGCCCCGGCCCCGGTCGTGGGCATAGACCCGAATCTCCAAAGGTGATCCAGGGCAACTCCTAGTGTCTCGTGGATCTGGACTGGCTTTTGCACGTGACAAGAAGCCTGCGGGCGTTTCATTCCCTGCATCCTCAGTGGGACACAGGCACTGGGCTTTCTGCAGGCGGCGGGGAAGAGGAGGGAGGAGAAGTCCTGGCACCACGTGAGGCTCCTTCAGCAAGAGAGCACCAGAGCCTGGCAGGGAGGGGAGCCCCACCTCTCCGGGGAGCTCCCCCAGGGCGAGGAGCCTTGCACAAATTAACACCTCCTTGCCCACAGCCAAGGTTTGCTGGGGCAGGCAAGTTGATGCCAGGCAAGGCAGAAGGGGCCTGACCTGGCCAAGCAATCGCCTCCTGCACGCCCACACCGCGCCCCGACACATGCCCCACGCCGAGCGGGAAAACCGCCTGCCCCCCACAGCTGCCTGAACCCGCCAGGAGCTCTTGATTCAGATTTAGGCTTAAGCTCTTTAGGGCAGGCCCTGTCCTTTACTCTGTGTCAGGCCGAACACGCGGGGACCTGATCTTAGTGGCCTTTATGTATCCCCATAATGTGATAAACACCAG